CTGGGTGTTATACGAAAACAATGGATTGTGGATCACCACATCAAAAACTAATGATGTATGGTGACTAACATAACATAATAAAATTTAAAAAAATAAAAATAAAAAAAGAATGAGAGTTATAAAATTTAGCCCAAACCTATCTTTCCTAGCATTTCCACCCCCCACCAACAAAAATATACTGTTTTATAAGGAAAAATCCACCTCTTCTATAAAACCTTCCAAGTATACAGGTCTTTCTCTTCTCTCTCAGTGCAGGATAGAATGAATTACTTCCTTCTTTAGGTTCCCGTAGCATTAAATTTATTATCCCTCTGATAGCACTTTGTGCATTATACTGTATTTATTTGTATCTGTCTCCCCTACTAGTCTGTGAACTTAAGGACAGGAATCGTGTCTTACTCATCTCTGTATCCCTAGCACTTTGCACAATGCCTGTCAGAGTGGGTGCTTAACAAATGTGTGTGTAATGGGTGAAGATGTTCTTCAGGTAGTGGTAGCAATAAGAACTTTGGGAGATAGAGTAAGTGATGGAAGTTATGGAGTGTAGCATAAAGCTAATTGAGTCCTGAGAACATAGAAGCTGGTCAGGAAAGGAGAAATGGGCTTCAACTGGCAGGAGTCCCCATGTGGTTTTCTCCTCCACTACAGAGACCAGCCGTCTGATTATTTGGATTAATAGACTTGGGACTTGGGAACATGTATTGAAAATTGGATGATTGAGGATTCACTTGGTGTTGGGAGAGTTTGACTTAGCTGTTCTGTGCTTATTCCAGACTAAGATGCTTTTTCCAGACTAAGATGCTTATGCTGAGAGATTCAACCCTCTTCCAGAGTCATGAATAAGTTTTTCTTCTTGAAAAATCAAAGCCTCCTCATTTTCAGGGCAGGATTCAGGTGGGAGTAGGAATGGTAAAGGTCAGATACTTCTACATTGTCTTTTTTAGCCTGGCTTCAGGGGAAAGTAGCCTACGAAGAGGCTCTAGGGTGGTGGGCCTACTCTGGAATAAATTATCTGTGTGAAAATAGTTCTTATCTTATTTCAGGCAACTCTGGTGGCTCTCCTGATCTGGTTGCTTTGAAGAAAGGAGAGTAGAAGAAAAAATAGGATAAATCATGTCAGAGATACTTGACCTCTCCTTTCTGTCTGAGGTGGAGAGGGATTTGATCCTCAGTGTTCTACAACGAGATGAGGAGCTCCGGAAAGCAGATGAGAAAAGGATCAGGTAAGCATTCCAGAAAAAGCGCAGGTTCCCAGACCTTTGATCAGTTTTATCTGGACCTTTCCTTATACCTCCCATGTGACTTTCAGAGGAACTTGTGTACAGGTTTACAATTCCTCACTGGGTCAGGTTGGGCTCTCTAAAGTTGTTGCTTCCACAGAACCAAATAGTCTTACTGTCTCTACCCCTCAACAACTTGCCATCCAACCTGTGCAGATTGTGAATGCGCTTGTGCTTCTCTCTGGGGTCTTGGCAGGCGACTGAAGAATGAGCTACTGGAGATAAAAAGGAAGGGGGCCAAGAGGGGCAGCCAACACTATAGCGATCGGACCTGTGCCCGGTGCCAGGAGAGCCTGGGCCGTTTGACTCCCAAGACCAACACTTGTCGGGGTTGTAATCACCTGGTGTGTCGGGACTGCCGCATCCAGGAAAGCAATGGTACCTGGAGGTGTAAGGTGTGCACCAAGGAAATGTGAGTATCACCTATGGAGCGAGAGAAAAGGAAGTCCCAGCTGTGGGGAGAATTTCTCTCCTTGGCCTTTGTTAGTTGAATGACAGGAGCCATTTTTTTTTAAAAAATTCATCTGTTACTTTCTTTTATTCCTTCCCAGAGAGCTGAAGAAGGCAACTGGAGACTGGTTTTATGACCAGAAAGTGAATCGCTTTGCTTATCACACAGGCAGTGAGATAATTAGGATGTCCCTGCGCCGTAAGCCTGCAGGTACTGGCCCTGTCTGGAAGTGTTTTGTTGTGGTTGTTGTTTGTTTGTTGTTGTTGTTTTTGAGGTGCTTGACTTCAGTGATAGATCCTCTGATGTGGAGTCCTGTTATAGTCTTACTGGTGGTGTCCTCACTTCATGGGCTCTGTGGGGGAATATAAAGATTATATTGCCATCCCTTCTGCAAATATGATGTGTTTCCCTTTTCCCCCTCATCACCACCACTCTGCCATGCTTTTGTTTGTCTTGAAGTGAATAAAAGAGAGATGCTGGGACAGCCCCTTCTTCATCAGTCACAGATGGATGATATCTGGCCGGGAAGAAAGATCATTCAGGAGCAACAGAAGAAGCCCAGGTAAGAACTAGCAATCATTTACAGAAATGCTACACATCCTTTTAACTTATTTTAACATTATTTTAAACTTTCTTCTATTTATAAAATAATAGCTGTTTATTACAGGAAAATTTGGAAAGTACAGAAAAGAATGAAGAAAGAGGGAAAAAAATACTATCCTACCACCCACATGTAAATATTAACATTTTGGCATATTTACTCTGTTCTTTTTTTTTAAACATTTTATTTATTTATTTGAGAGAGCGAGAGAGCATGAGCAGGGGGGAGGGGCAGAGGCAGAGGGAGAAGCAGACTCCCCGCTGAGCGCGGGACTCAATCCCAGGACCCAGTGATCATACCTGAGCCGAAGGCAGAGGCTTAACCGACTGAGTCACCCAGGTGCCCTTACTCTGTTCTGTTAAGAACAATTTAAAGACGAATAAAAATAACACATATTCATTATTAAAAACTTAACCAGTATAGGAAACAATAAAGAAAGCAACAAATCACCCAAATTCCTACTAGCCCAGTATTCACATGTGAAAATTATTTCAGATATCTTTTGTGTGTATATATAGATAGAAGGATGGGTGGGTGGATAGACTGAAAAATCTGTGTGATATTGGCTCATAATATATACATTAAGATCATGCTATGAAATTTTACTTGAATTTAACAGAATAAAACAGAAGAAATAAAATTGAAGAATTGCTCATCTTCAAATGTTTCTTTACCATAAAAGATATTAGTCATTAACATCCTTCTAAGTTTAAGAAAAAAAATCATAAAAACCATTGAGTAGTCATTTTTTCCCTGGAGTCTTTTTGGCAACAGCCCTATTGAGATATAATTCACATGCCATACAATTCACCCATTTATAGTGTATAATGCAGTGGTTTTTAGTGTGTTCACAGAACTGTGCAACCATCACCTCAACTGATTTTTAGAACTTTTCATCGCCTTAATAAGAAACCCTGTACTCTTTAGCCATCATTCCCCCAACTTCCTTATCCTTCTACCCCTCCTAAGCATTCACTGCTCTACTTTCTATCTCCATATATTTGCCTATTCTGGGCATTTCGTTTAAATGGAATCAAAGAATATGTGGTCCTTTGTGACTGTCTTCTGTCACTTGACATAATGTATTCAGGGTTCATCCACGTTATAGCATGTGTCAGGACTTAATTTCTTTTTGTTGCCAAACAATATTCTATTATATATTCTGATAATATTCTTTTATATGTATATACCACATTTAATTTTTCCATTCATCTGTTGATGGACATTTGGGTTATTTTCACTTTTTGGTTATTATAAGTAATGCAGCTATGAACTTTCATTATGAGTTTTTGTATGGACATAACATTTTCATTTCTTTTAGGTAGATACCTAGGAGTGGAGTGCTAGGTCAATCATTTAGTCATTTTAAAAAATCTACTTGTTTCAATATCACCAGTAGACTCTCTGCTATGAAAGAGGAGGGGATTAGCTTTCTTAAACTTTCTCCCAATGCTTTCCCCTACTCCCATTTTTTATTACTCAAATCACTTTTACTTTGTTAGCGCTTATAACATTTACATTCTGTTATGCAACCATAAATCATCTGCCTGTTTTATCTGTTTGTTTAGTTTTATTTCATATTTAAAAGGATTGTCAGCTTATAATCAGGCCTTGGAACATGACTCCTCTATATTTCTGAATTCTTCCCTTTCATTTATTTCTTGGTTATTTGGATTTTACCACTGAGGAGTTCCTTCAAGAAGGGCTTGCAGAAGCTATGTTTATTTTGCTCTTTCATGTTAAGAATGTCTGCCTAGTGACTTTATACTTGAATGATATCTTGGCTGGGTATTGTATTCTTGGGTCATACTTTTTTTCCCTCAGAATGTCGTAGACACTACTCCATTGTCTTCTGCCACTGAATGTGACTGTGATGAAGTCTGAGGCCAGCTAGCCTTTTGTTTTTCTCCCTTGTAGGTAACTGAGTGTGTGTGTGTGTGTGTGTGTGCACGCACATGTGTGCACATGTGCATGTGTGCACACATCTCAGTGGTGATCATCCTGCATCATTTCCCTCTAATATGTACCCTTGATGAGTCCTTTCTTCATTGCTGGAAAATTTTTCTGTATCATATCCTCTGAACTTTTTTTCTGTTTCATTAGTTAAGTTTCCCACCTTAGGGACATTGGATTTCTTTTTTGTAAAATTTTTTTTTTATTTATTTGACAGAGAGACAGAGAGCACAAGCAGGGGGAGCGGCAGAGGGAGAGGGAGAAACAGACTCCCCGCTGAGCAGGGAGCCTGATGCGGGACTCGATCGCAGAACTCTGGGAGCATGACCCCAGCCGAAGGCAAACGCTTAATGACTGAGCCACCCAGG